CTCTTGTACCTCCCTCCACTTCCTCCAGCTCCCTATCTTCCTCCCTCCTTCTCTCCTTCCATCCCATTACTGTAATCCATCACTCTTCCATCAGCCACCATGCAAACAGGCCTCCTGGTTACCATAGCAACCACCTCCAGCCCGGCAGTGCGCAGCCCCTCTCCGATTGGCTGGCAAGGCCTAGGCAGTCTCAGTCTGTCTGGGAGATGTGGTAATTGGCTGGGAAGGCATACACACATGCACAGATGTACACACACACACAGACACACACACACACACACACATAGTTACACTCAGTACAGTATTCATACAGTATGCACATACTCGCACAGGCACACAAATACACACACATATAAAACACACTTGTACTTTCTTTGGGCCAAAATAATTATACATACTGATAATGTATTGGATATTGGAAAGCACATGCACAAGCACGCACGCACACACACACACACATACACTCACTCACTCACAAACGTCCTCAGAGATATGAAAGGGAGACTGGGGTCAGAGTAATGAACCTTATAAGAAGATGAGGGCTCTAGGCTGTGTGTGTGTGTGTGTGTGTGTGTGCACACACACACACACACACTGTTGGTGTGCACACGTCTGAATTTTTTTGTGTGTGTGACACACAAGTGTTTTTGTGTGGGTTTCTGTATGCACAGGATGGTGCTGTGCAGGATTTTGGATAATGTTGGAGCTGTTCCAAAAAGGATGGATGGATGGAGGAATTTTTTTTTTTCAGAGCATATTGTTAAAAATACCTATATCCCCCCAGCCCCCTCTCACCAAAACCCCCCAAGGAATCGAGTATGCACCAGTTTTTTGGTTTTCTGTGTTCTGGTAGGAAGCAAAAAATGGAACTGTTGATCGGCTTGACTTCACCCCGCTGCTGTTGCTCAGCCAGGTCTGGCCAACACTGCAGCTATGATGAATGTCTCATCTCCAGGAATACATCACAAATAGCAAAACTGTACCTGCCCTGAATAGCAAAGTGTATTTTCTTCTGCAGTGTTGCTGGAAAACAATTGTGGACAACGGGGCTCCTTTGTCCCCATTCCCAGGTTTTCCAGAATCCGCTATTCATTCCAAACAATGGCATCCCTTAATTTCTTTTTATCTTCAAAAGCATTTTTACAGCTTTTTGAAACACATGAAAAGGCACCTTATTTTTTTTTTTAAAAAAGAGACACGTGTTTTCTAGCTAAAACTATGCAATTACATTCTCTTCTGAAGACTGAAAAAGGAAAGGAAGAAATAGGAGCGGGAGAAAAAATGGTCGACATTGGCCTCAGCTTCAAGCCCATAAGTCTGTGCATGTGAGAGAAGAAGTCTGTGGACTAGTCCTCCCCACCTAAGGAAAAAAAAGACAGACTTGTAAGCTGCCCTAGTTGGCAGCAATACAGACGAGCAGACAGACAGACTGACTACTGTCCAAGAACACACAAATATTCAGCGATTTACACCACAGGAACTGGAGCAAATAATGCAAACACACACACGGCACACACAAAAGGTACAGCTCATTTTTCAATCTCATCTTTTTAATGGAAAAAAATGAGTCAAGGGAAGAGAGAAAAAACTGGGTAAATTGAGAAAGCCGAATGAATTCACAGAAAATGACTGACAGCAGTGATGACAGCAATGCGGTCACGGTCCACATTTCAAAGCATTCCCAGGTACCAGACGGAAGAGGAGGAGAAGAAAGAGAGGGAGGAAAAGAGGAGGGCGGTTAAAAAAATGTCCAAGAAGATTGCATCTTCCTCTCGAGGTAAAAAATACAAATTAAAAACTCGTCTTTATCCAGTGTTGTTTACAACAGACAGTCACATTGGAAAACAAAAAATGCAAAGATTGAAAATGAAAAGTGCACCCGCACTCACACGCATACATACTTACAATTAGTTTCTTATTTTTGGGAAAAGAAAAGCAAAAACAAATAAAACAACAAAAAAAAGTGCAAGCAAGATCACAGAACAACAATTTACAACAGAGGCCTAGAGTGGCCCAAAGGCTCAACCCTCTGACTGAGCCACCCCAACAGCCTGAAATGATGGTGGAAGGGGGAGATGGGGGTAATGGCATCAACTTGAGACCTGGAGGTTCCTGGTGTGGCTTTGTTGGACCCCACATCCCCACCCTTACCACCACCATCGCTTTGCTTCATCCATTTGTACAGAGAGAAGGCTCAAGTTTCATTAAACTTTCCAAAGACCCAACATGGCTTCCCCGCCCTCCCCAGATAGTACAATCAAAGTTAGTTTGACTCCACCATGCTTCTCCTTTTAAGTGCCAGGAAAGCTCCAAATATAAAGGCTTTTCAGTCACAATGACATCATCATTATCATCCAAATCCCAAACATTTCCATTATATTTAATCTAACAATCACCATTAAATATTTCCACTTCATCATCAAACTATTTCCACACAGACATGCTTCAAGTCTAGGTGTTAGCTCTGATTTGTAAATGGAAATAAACATTTCTTTTTATTGGTTGCTAGTGGTTTTGTCGGCAAATGTAACACTAATTTAACACACCATAAAGTCATACAGTATAATCCGAGTGCCTTGCGTGAAATGTGTACACTCAAGTGCACTTTAGTTGTAATCTGTACTCAACATTACAATCCTCAAGCAGTGTTGTGCCATGCAACTGGTTCCACTGAGAAGGAAATGTCTGCAGAATAATAAATAACACACTATTTTGGTTCGATTTGCTTCTTTCTTTTTTTTTTTCTTCACTGACCTTCTGTGGATATACGCATACGCTCATACACACACATGTACTCACATATATAGAAACACGCACTCACACACAGAGGCATAAACGCACTTGGAGAGCAAATGTAGCCACACTGTGCAAAATGTAAAATTATTTTTTTTTAAAGGTACAGAACCAAACAAGCAAACAAACAGGAACTGAACATAAGTTAAAGGTTTTTGTCGTCGTTATTTAAAAATGCATTACCGACTTTATCAAAATATGAGGCATTCATGCAAAGTTGAATTGAATTGAGGGGGTAGTACAGTATTTGCACCTACTGCCCGTCTGCATCAGATGGCAAACACGAGTACAGTTCAGATACATTCTAGCGAGCCATCTGATCCTGTAAATTTCCTTTCAGAGACATGATGCAGCATTAAAATGAGACGTTCATTCAAGCCGAAGCCGGCCGAGTCTGAGCCGTTTCACACTCTTACCTGTACACAAAAATATGAAACACTGTGTAAAATGGCAATTTGTTGCCCTTAATTCAATCCCCATATTTACAGCTATTGTCTCCAAACTCAAACCTCACATCCGCACTAATAAATCATTTAGAAATGTCCCCATAAATCAGCACTCGTACTTCACCTGTCTTCTAAAAATGCTTGTTAAGTTGCCTTGAGAAACCCAGTTAAACTGGTTGAGGACACTATAACGGGTCATTTCAATAAGAGAAAAATAAAAGATCTCTTTTCAGTGAAAGCCCATGAAGATGCATGCTGGCTGACCATTTAAACCCACGTTTCTCCAACACTTACACCAGATTCTTTAGCGCAGACTAGCAGTGTTAGCATAACTTCTACAACAACATATTTTGCTTGTCAACCCCAAAAAACAGAAAAAGAAACAAATCAGATGGCTTCACAGAGGCTGCCATATGTCATTTGAATGTATACATGTTAACAAATGTCCAATACAGTTTAATTTATTTATATTTTGGTGACACTGTCTCTCTTTTAGACAGGTTCGATCTTGAAAGAGCAACCTGATTGAGTATTGCTTTATGCTAGCAACACAGAGCTTAGCATATCCTCTAATGTAAAATCAATGACCCCTTAACATTATTCTGTGGTGATAATTGTGCTGATAATGGCAAAGACTGTGAGAGAATTAAGTACTCACATAAAATCTATTTATGCGTAGCTAAAGGTGGCATACAGTTTTATAAAGACAACACCTCTTAAGGGGTGTAGTCTGTAATCAGGATTGCAACTATTATTTATTACAAATGTTTACTTATCTGATAAAAGAGAAGTTAGAGTGATGGGAACAATGACTGTAGAAACGTTTTCTGTAGTCATTGGATGGGACAGTTAGCTTAATCTCAAGACTGGGGAAACTACGGGGGCCCTGAGAGGTCAAATAAACTGCAACTTAAGAAAACACCAGAAACCAAAACCTGTAAAGGACTCCACAAAGAGACAGACGCTTAAATGAAGCTAAGGATTCATCTGTGTTAAGTTTCATTCAGGAGAAAAAGACACAAGATTTGTTTTAATTGTGTGACTTACCAAATACTGTAGATACACACAAAAAATACTTGTGTTTCGTTTCATTATATCTTGTTTTGGTTTTTTTTTGTTTTTTTCTTTTTTTCCCCTTTTAACTCTGTATTCTATTTAACCTTTGTTGTATTTTTTGAAAAACACTTTCAAAATATTGAAATATATTTTGAAAAAGGGTGAAGTGCCCACTCCGGGTCAGGGACGAGACCCTGCCCCAAGTGGAGGAGTTTAAGTATTTCGGGGTCTTGTTCACGAGTGATGGGAGAAGGGAGCAGGAGATCGACAGACGGATTGGTGCAGCAGCTGCAGTGATGCGGACGCTGTACCCTACCCTCACCTATGGTCACAAGCTGTGGGTAGTGACCGAAAGAACGAGATCACAAATACAAGGCCCCTCCCTTAGAGATACAGTGAGAAGTTCGGCCATTTGGGAGGGGCTCGGATTAGAGCCGCTGCTCCTCCACATCGAAAGGAGCCAGTTGAGGTGGTTCGGGCATCTGACATGGATACCCCCTGGGCGCCTCCTGGGTAAGGTTTTCCGGGCATGTCCCACCAGGAGGAGGCCCCGGGGCAGACCCAGGACACGCTGGAGAGATTATATCTCTCGGCTGGCCTGGGAACGCTTTGGTGTTCCCCCGGATAAGCTGGAGGAGGTGGCTGGGGAGAGGGAGGTCTGGGCTTCTCTGCTTGGGCTGCTGCCCCCGCGACCCGAGCCCGGATAAGCGGAAGAAAATGGATGGATGTATTTTTCTATTTCTATTGTGTTTTATTCATCATCAGTTTTGTTTTGTGTGCTATTACAGAATTTTAGTATTTGTTGGTGTTATTTTTCTTAGCTACAGTACATTTGACCTCTCAGGGCCACTGTAAGAAACAGTTTTCCTGGCCGTATGTCTGTGTAGGGTTTCACTCAACCAGGTCATGTTAGTCTAAGACCCTTGAATCAAGGGTGGCTGGACTTCTTTACATTTTTTGAAGATGTTTCACCTCTCATCCTGGCTACCAGCACCTCTAATGCTTATGGATTAACGTGTAATATAAAACAAAAGGTTGTAAATGATAAAAATGATGATCTTCAGTGTGGGTTATGTGCCATACTATTCATTTCTTCCATACTTTCCAGAGTCACTTCAAGATGCACTCTGGCATATAAGCCACGGTGAAATGATGAAACAATTCCTTTAACACTTTCTTTTTGTCTTCACTCTGTCAGAATACCTGGACGAGAAAATGCCGACTTTCCTTGCATCCACTTGACCTCTGCTACTCAGATCCTCGCACAGATCCGGCCTAGCTTGGAAATGGCTACAATTATTGTAGTTTTCAAATAAAGTCCCACAAACAGACATGCACACACACACATACACACTCACACACACCCAGTTTGGCCAAAAGAGTTCATATTACAAACACATTATTGCGAATTAAGTGTGCTTTCTCTTCAATTTCAATTACAAGTTTTGAAAAAACAACTGAAACAACAACATGCGAATGAAAAAGAAATTTTAAAAAAAGGAATCATTAAAAAATACGTTTTTTTGGCCTCCGCATAGGCCAGACAAAGATCTGCATTGTCCACACATTGATCCTACATTCTTAACACACAGATAATACACACCAAGCACCAGGAGCGTTTTAGTCTCGCATTGGCTTCACAGTCATTGTTTCATCGAGGGAAAGGGCGAACAAAGGTCAGGTAAAGGATTTGTGAGGGACGCTAAGCCTAAATTGTATTTTTTAAATACATCGTTTGATCAGAGATAGTTGATTAAGAGAAAAATCCTTCTCTCCTTTAATCAGAGGATCACATCCGCACACTAAAAACCACCGGTGTCAATCCCAAAATGCATCATTAATTTTGTGGAAAAACCCCATGCAACGAGAGAGGACAGGGTGAGGTCAAAGATGGTCTGAGTTCCTGACCAGAGACTCCAACGTGTCCGGCGAGGGTGAGGTTTTATGAGCGCGTAGATGGAGAATCAGTCGAAATTCTGTACAATTCACTCTGCCTTTAAAAAACTGCATGGAGCAGGAAACCCTGCAGACAAATAATGGAGCAGAGTTCAGTGTCTCAGCTCTGCCGTGCACGGTAAAGGACAGAGGGAGTAAATGAAATTTTGATTGGGTGTATATTTCACAGTTGACTAACACTGAAACATACTGCTCCATGGTTATCCAGGGTCTTCAATGCCCTGTCCTCTGCCTAACACCTATCCATCTTATTAATTCTCGCTCACTACTTGACTGAGTTGCAGCTGAAGATCATTAGGGCTCATCCGAGGGCCCTTATGAGGGTTCCTGTGGAGTAGTATGCCTCAGAAGTGCCCTTGGCAGGCTGAAGTGTGTGTCTTGCTAGCAAACTTATTGCCAGCTGATGAATTCCTCTGTTGAGACAGAGCAAGAATGAAGGGAGGGGGGGTTCAGGTCAAGCACAACAGGGAATTCGAGTGACCAAAATAAATAAATAAACGGGGCGGAGGTTGGCTCGCCACTGGAAAGACGTTTCGGGAATATGCATCGCCGTGGTTGCTGTGTGCTCAGTCGTGTCAAAGGTCACGGGGACAGAACGTAGAGAGAGTAGCGGCGAGCAGATCAGAAGAGGAGGGGCGGGGGGTAGCCTCTGAGGCACAGTGAGGGGGGTTACGGAGAAGTGGTTTTGGGAGAGGATGAAGGGCCAAGAGGAAGAGGCGCAGCTCAGCAGATTAAGTGAGGGTGATGTAGGCTGAGGCCTTCTCCTTCAGTTGTCTTAGACACAGATGACAGCTCCAGCTCCCTGTACAACACACACACACACAGATTGGGAGTTCAATCACTGCTATTGTAAAGCCTTGTGGATTAATCCCTCATTTCACACAGAGCGTTAAGTAACACTGTAAATTAAAGCTCCGTGTTTAAACACCACACGCTGTGCCTGTGGTTTGTGGGTGCAGAGGATCTGACAAGTAGTTTGGTTTGGATTCCGGCTCAGGATTTGTGACATTAATTAAACATAAAGTCGAGACAGATGCTGAAATGTTCTCCTCAACCTTAACGCTTCAAAGTGAACCCAGACTAAAGGTGGTACACAAATATAAGTTTATCATCGACGCGTGTGCGGAGACCCGAAATAAACTGACTGCTGCTGAATTTTAAAAAATGTTTTCCTGTAAATCGAAAGCATCGCATGTGTGGGCAGAGCTTGACACTGTTAGTGCGTGTTGAACACGAGTGGCACCGCTACTGTATGTTCAGCCAAGTGACACTTTTGCCATGGAAACAGATTATCTTTCTACTACTCATTTCCATGACAACGCCATCAAACATTTTGAGGCAGCCATCTTATGTGGCAAATGACAGTTTGATTTAAGCAGAAGTACCTTCTCCATTTCTGTAATCGCAGCCACGGTATTTTAGACCGCCGTATTCAGATTAAAACATTCATTCAAAAAAAAAAAAGAAGAAAAAACAGAAATGAGTCCTGAGGGTCATATTCTTTAAAACTGCCTTAAAAATCAGCACGACTGCTCTGACTGCAGGTTTCACTCTCCTCATCCTACCTACGGCACAGATAGTTCCACGTCTCTGTAATGATAAAAATGTTCTCGTGGTTGTGGAAAGTTGTGAAGTCTGATAAAAATGAGGATGCGGCACATTGTGTAGCTTTGCGGTGTGCATGCGTACCCTCTGGCGGCTCAGACATCGGAGGGCTCAGACAGTACATGTGATAGCCTCTGTCACAATCGTCACAGAACAACAGCTGGTCCTGCAAAAGAAGAGAATTAGTGTCGTTAATCACACGTGCGCACGGTCTTGAAATCAAAGCCGAGGACTGCAGCGGCAAAACATAGTGTGTGTAGTGCTTTAACAATGATTTTGTATTTATATAATCAAGCGACTGGGGTGTGATGAATATGTCCCTGGTTGTTTTTTTTTCATTTCATATTCATAACTTCAACCTTTGTTGTGGCAGGCGGTAAAAAGCTCAACAGGATCAACAACTCTTTTTCTTTGTTGTATTTACACTAGATGCTTTAACCAGCAATTTGAGTCCTGCATTGCAGTCTGTGTACATTTAAGCACCTTCAAAAAAAATCTGCACTTCTGGAAGGGTTTTCAGTCAAATTTGTTTGATCCCAGTAAATTGTGGGCAGCACTATAACACCATCCTTCAGTCTTCATGCACTCAAGTATTTGAGCCAGACATCGGCCTCGGATGACTACAAAAATAAATATCAGCAGTATTCACTTATACCTGCTCTGCCTAAGTTTTTCTGGTATTGTGTATGAACTGTACATGTGTGTGTGTGTGTGTGTGTGTGTGTGTGTGTGTGTGTGCAGCCACATGTGCTTAGATTTAACGTGTAGTAGAAAGTAAGAGCCTACGTCGTTCTCAGAGGTGCCACACAGGCTGCAGGACTTGCACTCGATGCACTGCCAGCGATAAGTCCTCACCGCAGCTGTCATGTTCACTGTGAACTGCAGACAGGACGGGTGGCCTGGGTGCACACACACAAACACACAAACACACACACACACGCGCGCACAGGCACACAGGCACACAGACACGCGTTCACTATTTCTGTCTGTATTTTGAGGACAGTCATCCAGCTGTTTCTTCCAACTGTAAATTCATTTGCTTCATTCAGGTGATCTGTTTGAGGAGAACTTAGCAGGTATTTTGCAAGCGACTGAATGCTTGCTTGGTTGCCGCTCCCCCCTGCTTATTTATGAAGAATGTAAAATACGGTCTTGATAATAACCACAATTATTGGCATGTGAATTAATCCATATAGTTGCTTTAACTTGGTCTTAGACATAGACTGTATATAAAAGATGGGCAGAGCTTTTGGGTCTGAAAAATGAAGCTAGAAGTGCCATAAACCTGCATTCTTTCTAACTGTCAGCAAGAAGAAGGTCAACTCCATAGAAGTCTATGAGAAAATGAGCCGACTTCTCAGTTGATTTTGACCACATGATCTTCTCAGCCACTAATTTCAAGTCTTCATCAGTACTGTTTAGAGTAAACTTGTTGATAAACCTTCAGGTTTTCAGTTATACTCCTTGCTTGTTCCAAGTGTGGTTGTCCTAAAACACTTATATAAATGCAGTTTTTCAGGAAGTACAATTTAGTTCAAGTAGTTTAATTTAGTTTCTGTGTTTTTTAACTAGCCACAGCTAACAATGTCTTGGCGCTTTATGGATGCACCTTGCTAACCAAGATTGCCAGCTAGCCTTAGATGATCAGCTCTTTGTGTTGGTAAGATTATCAGGATATTCCCAGTGGATACATTCAGCATTTATATAGAACCCGCTGCCCTATTTAATAAAATGACAGGGAAGTAATAACTGTTGTCATAAACTGAAGTCCACATTTCAGTCTTTTGGAAAACAAACTATCTCTTCTTTTCTGCAGTTATTTGAATTTTTCCTGATATTTACTGTTACATGATTATGACAATATAAATGTTATGTCATCCACACTTTCTGATCTTCCAGTTATGAAGGACCATACCAGTGTCTTGCATGCACTAGCCCAATCACTACAAATCACATAAATCTTTTTTTCTCTCTTTTTTATTTTTCAAACATAAATGTGAGAAGAAAAAAATATGTAGTACATGCAGTCAAATTATAAGTACACATTCTGCACCACTGCACCATCTGCTTTTATACAGATAACCGGAATGTACAAACACATCTCACACCAAAAAAAAAAATGAACCTTATAATAAAAAAACAAAAATACAAGCACATTAAAACAAATACGTTCTCTACTCTCTCCACTAAAATAAACGCTCCTTGCTATTCACAGTCAAAATACATGCTAGGAGGGGGGTCGTTCTCTCGTCAAATCAGATTCTTCGTATCAAAGGAAAGAGGAAACAGACAATCATTATAATATCACACTTGGATGATGTACAAAAAGCTAGTGTTGAAGGCAGAACATAATATTCTAAACACTTTTGTGTTTTCTTGCCAGACAAGAAGGTCACATTGAGATGACATTTCATTGGTTCCATTCATATTTCAGTGCCAGCAAAATATCTGCATGAACCGCAGAGCAGAGTGTTGTGATCAGCAGAAATGACCACATTAAATTTGTAGAATAAGAGCTTCAGTTATACACAACATTGTCTCTCATAATGCACATCAACTTATAATTTCCACGCCTTTATACAAAAGTTTCCTCTATTTCTGGTTATGGACGTCAGCAAAAACCTTTTACCAACCATATTTGTTGCTCATTATAACCCATGAAGAATCAGTTTCTTTAAAAAATCCAATCATTATTAGGTTTTGTTGTTTTAATGAATACATTTGAATTGCATGAATGCAGTTAGCCCTGATTTGTAAGTTGGGATAAAAATGTGATTAGGAATGAGAAACTGTCTTGAGAACAATTTACATTACAGCCACCATTTCCCAAAACACATCATGTTGCTTAAGTTGTTTGCTTTCAATGTATTTTCTGGTTTCCAGAGAGCCACCCTTTTCCATCAATTTGCATACAGTGTTCGACTTCCAGTGACTTATAATCATGAGATATTACATCAAAGAGAAAGGCAATAATCTGCTATTATTTAACCACAGTTAGTTTTGGCTAGTGATGCTGTTGTTTTCTCATTGCATCATTGTTTACCATCATTATAAGAGGTAATGTGCTCTTTTCACAGCTAACCTTGTGGTCAGAAGCACGAATGTGATGGTTATTTAGGTCTTTTAATGGTTTCTTTGATGTGTTTGTTTTCTAGGGTGGAATGATTGCACAGCATACATCTTTGTTGACTTGCACAAATTTGAATTTATTTTGGATTTTCTCCAATCCACATGGGGTCAAAATTATACATACACTCAATTAAATCTTTTAATAAGTGCTGCTAAAGGTTCTACGCTCTTTTAACTTGACAAGGCCCATTATCTTATTAACTCAATAGTCATCATGATTGTCTACAACTGGTAGTTTCTCTTCACCAGCATAAGACGAATTTGTCTGACAGCACTCACTGTGAATACTCAGATACTTAATACTCAGAACAAAGGGAAAATCAAAGGAACTCATTGAAGAGTTAAGAAGGAAAACTGTTGTTTTAGATAGCTTGGAAAGGTGTCTTGGAGCTATTTCTAAACAGCTGAAGGCTCCAGGATCATCAGTTCAAACAACTGTATGCAAGTACAAGTTATTTGGATGTGTCATCGCTTTGCTAAATTCTGGAAGAAGACTCAAACTGTCACCATCAGATGAGAGGAAACTGATTACGATGTTCAGGAACAACCTATGAACACCAAGGCTCAGCCCTAACATATGAACTAGAAACTGCTGGAACACCAGTGTCATGGTCCACAGTGAAACAAGTTTTACATCACCATGGACTCAAAATGCACCAAGCAAGATGCCCCTGCTACAAAACCTAAGAACACTATACCAGTTGTTGGGCATGATAGTGGTACCATCATGCTCTGGGGCTGCTAGTACCTACTCGAATCGACTCACCATGCATCACCACGACTCGACTCGGATCAACTGTTTTTTTATTACAATCCAATACTACCTAACGTGCATGGTTGTTGTCATAGCAACGTGTCAGCGCATCCCGCTTTGACACCTTTCGTTGCAGCAACACAAATGCTACAACAAAGGGTGGACGTCAAGGCAACAATATACCTGCTGCTCAGTCTGTGGCTTTTCGTCAGACTCGGGGATCACGGCGTTGTTTTTTGTAGCCATTTCCCTCATTGCCAGGTTTTAAAAATGGTGTTTTTCATTTCCGTGAACGAGTCATCAAGTGATGCTACTGACCAGCCAATCAGTGGCATGCAGACTAGAGATGGACCGATCCGATATTACGTATCGGTATCGGTCCGATACTGACGTAAATTACTGGATTGGATATCGGAGAGAAATAAAAAATGTAATCCGATCCATTAAATATCAAAAAAGCCCCTCACAAAACTTGCGACACGGCGTAACTCGTAGCACTGTGGCACGTGGCAGCAGTATGCATCACGTGATAGAGCGGCTGTGTGTATTTGTAGCCTCGCTACCAATCCAGCATTTCATCTCCGAGGAAGTTATCCCAGAGAGAAGTAAAGCAAATGTGTAAGTTCATCTGAATGTTTGTAAAGCATTCCCGCGTTAAGCTTAACAACCGACATATGGAGCGACTGCCTCTTCTCTCTCCCTCCCTCTTCAATACTACTTCAATCATGAAACTGCTTAATGATCAGCTGATCGGCTTTTCTGTCGCGAGTCCGTCTCTCTTCTTTGTTTTTGGCCCACTTCGCACCAGAAAGAGGAAACCAGCGGCTGAACAACAGCAGCACGTTTAAGCTTGATAAGCTGTTGTTAGAATTTATTTAATATTACTTTCTACACCAGGATCCTTTTCTATGTAGCTGACGGCTGGTAACTTTGCAGGGGCAGATCTAGCAAAGTTTAGCCAGGGGGGCCGATAGGGCATTAACAGGGAAAAAGGGGGCACAAAGACATACTTTTCTTTCTTATTCTCATTTAAAATGTCTAGCTTTTAATAAATAATTATCCAAATCTTACACCCAAAGTTTTAATCTGATGTAAAATGTATAGAAGTCCATTACTGTATATAGTAACTATTAAGTCTAATATACCCTAGTAAGCTATAGTACTTTTTCCTTTGGGAAGGTACCATCTGTGCAGTCTGCAATTCTGTTGAAGAAAGATGTTGAATCTATTTAATTATTCTTCAAAAATAATT